CGGTCGGTGCCAGCTGCTGCGTGGCCGCTGCCCCGCGAAGAGCGCCGCGGGGGGACCCGGCTGCGGGCTGCTCCCGCGCCGCGCGCCGGCCGAGGGCCAGCCGGAGCAAAGCGCCTGCGTGCTCCCGGCGCGCTCGCTCCCACTCGCGCCGCGCCCGGCCCGAGGAGGCCCCCGCCGAGCGCCCGCTCCCCGGGCGCCTTTTCCTGCGCCCGCAGCCCCCGCCTCCCACCTGGGAGGGCTGCACCTCCAGCCGCCGCCGCCGGCACTGCAGCACGCCCTCCTCCCCCGGGGCTGCGCCGGGCTTGTGCTGCCCCCTGCCGGCCCGAGCGCCCCCTGCTGCTGTAGGTGCGCTCACGTGCGTACACGTAGGTGAGCACACACGTGTTTCCGGGCGCGCAGGACCCCCGAGAAGTCCGAGAGTTTCCCCTCCTTGGCTAGATGAAGAAAATAAGACTGCCTCCTTCCAGAGAAAGCTTACCCCAGGGGGGCAAAGAAAAACGCGTCTCTTTCTGAAAGAAAAAAGAAAATCAAAACACCACAGGTACTCAGTTTCCCCTTCTGCAGAAGAAGTGGAGTAGGCGACCTAGAAGGTCCCTGCCACTTAATAAAATTCTGTTTGTTTAAAAATCTCAGCCCTGGCTGGAACTTTAACCTTCCAATCTAATGGACGTGTTCCGAATAGGAAAATTGAGGCCTGCGCGGGAAGGGGAAGTACTTTTCCATACTCCTTAGGAGACACCCTGCTTCAAGGACCTCGCCCAAGCCCAGAATTAAGGAAAGGTCCCGCATAAGCAATTGCTACTGAGAAGGTTGGTCAAGGTTGGACAGACTTCTGAGAAGCAAAGTAGAACATGAGAATGAATTGCGTAGGGCACACGGAGAAAACTGGAGACAGCAAATTGCTAACGAGCAATGCCCACAGGTTCAGGGTTTGCCCACAGACAAGTGGATTGTCCTGTGCTGCAGAATGAGGAATGTGGGAAATGAGGCTGAAAGGAGGCCAGGCCTTTGGGGAGAATAACACTACTGTTTATCAGGCCCTAATTTTGTGCCAGACATTACGCTAAGCCCTTTCCATATGTCTTAATTTAGCCTGTTAGTGTACAGGTTATTATCTCGATTGTACAAAGGAGGAAACTGAGCTTTAGCGAGCTTAAGAGACTGACATACAGACACTTGACTGGGCTCCAGAGCTATTGGTGGAGCATGGAACATGACCGGCAAGCAGACGACAGTTTAAGAGGGAGTTGGGGAAGCAGTGACCTCAGCAAAACGCACAGAGAAGACAAAGGATGGATGTAGGAGTCATTCCAAAACAGACATTTATTGAAAACCAGGCATTGTCTTAGATATCATCACTAACATCTTCATTAGTCCTCATTCCAACCCTCCCAATCGGTTCTATGTGTTCCCGTTCACTTAGATGGATTTGGAAGCTTGGGTATGTAATATGTTTGCCCAAGGTCTGAGAGCTGCCCCACATTCATTGTATGATGTTATGGGGACCACCTATGTGACAGATAACTCTGTAGAATGGCATCTACAATAAGCCATTAGATACCCACCCTGCTCTTACCGCCACAATAAGATTTAACAGATACTATGTACAAATTGACGTAGCCCAGGTCAGCTGACTAGTTTCTAAGGATATCCCCAGGAATGCTACAACAGAATAGCCACAAAGATGTCTACCTATGCATTTTTGCATTTGCATCGTTGTGTTTCACCATACGTAGCAAGTGGGGGCTTTGTTCTATGCTTGAGATAAAAAGGTTGGCGTGGAGAAATTAACTCACTATTATAACCGGTGGGATCAAATGGGACTTTGTTAGGAGACTGGAGAGACAACAACTGACAAAATAAGAGTCCAGAAGCTAAGGGATGCACACACCCTCTAGAACAGTGGTTCTCAACCTGTAGGTCTCAACCCCCTCGAGGTTGTATGTTAGATATCCTGCATATCAAATATTTACAATTCACAACAGTAATGAAAATAACTTTATGGTTGGGGTCACCACAACATGAAGAACTGTGTTAAAGAGTCTCAGCATTAGGAAGGTTGAGAGCCACTGCCTAGAAGCAAGAAAGGTAAAAAGGGTGAATTATGCCCTACAAAGTTACCTCTAGAAGGAACGCAATATTGACTTGAGCCTATAAGATCCGCCTCAGCCGCCAGCACAGCAAATTAACACTTTCATGTTGTTTTAAGCCAATGTATCTGTGGTTCTTTATGTCAGCCAAATAGGAAGTCGGGCAGGCGGGCTAAATGTGATGTCACTTTGGAGAATCACAGCTTTCAAAGCTATTCATCTTGGGTGCATCATCTGAGTGTGTACTTAGGCAGAGCCTGTCTCCTGTTGAGCTCCAGGCTCCATTAAGACAAGAAGTTTCCTTATTCACCTGTGTATCCCCACCCAGTACCTAGCCCCTGCTGAGAAGTAAGTAGTAAGCACTCATCAAATGCTTACTGAACGTCCAAGAGATCCCACTTCCTCTTCCTAGTGGCTCTGTAGGTTACCCGTTATTTCCTTTTAAAGATGAGGAAAACAAAAGTTATCGAGCCTAGATCCCCACACTTGTGACTCTGTTCAGATCTGATGGCTACTGACAGTGAGTGACATGCTGAATTCCATGGGGATTCCTGTATGTCGGCCCCTGCTCCCTGATGGATCTCGTCCCATTTAGCTCTTCCGTGGAGGAGAGATAAATATCCAGGCATTACTAACAATGGTTTTTGTCACTAACATTTCAGCCTCAGAATTTGAATGTTTAATGAACAACCTTGTGTTTTACAGTTACAGGACTGTATGTCCCAACAGCTGCCCGTTTGCAGCTGCGGTCTTCAGACCCTGAAGTCCCTAACCGTTTTATCCAAACCCTACCACCAGCCCCTCAAAGATTTTAACAGTCTTTTCTTGGACCCCCTTTATGAGTGACATGAGTCAGCCAGAGCTGCCTGCATATGATTGTATCGTTTTTCATTATCTATTGGTGTATATGTATTTGTGTGTGCACATGTGTACATGTGTGCCGAAGCCAGAGGTTGATAGTAGGTGTTTTCCTCAGTCACTCTCTACCTAGTTTTTGAGACGAATTATCTTATGGAACCTGATTCTGTCACTGATTCAGATAGACTGAGTCACCAGTAAGTCCCAGGGATCTGGATTTCTCAACTTCCCCAGCGCTTGGATTACAGGTATGTACTGCCATGCTTGGCTTTTATATGGCTTCTAGGGATTAAACTCAGGTCCTCATGCTGTGTGACAAGCACTTTACCAAGTGTCTCCTCTGCTCCCCAGGACATCACACTTTAATGACATTTTTTGGTCTTTAAACTGCTTTAGAACCCTGGTGCTATGAGGCGGGGCCTTTGTGATGTGAGTTGTGAGGACTCTGCTTCCATGAGTAAAATTAGTGCCTTTGTAAGAGACTCTCCGGCCCTTTTGGCCATGGGAGGGCACAGCGAGGTTTCACCTATAGAGCAGAGAAGAGGCCCTCACCAAAACCTAGTCTGTTCATCTTGAACTTCTCAGCTTCCTGATACTATGAGAAATAAGTGTGTGGCATTTATGAAGCTAACCAGTTTGTGCTATTTGGTTGGAGCATCCCAAGTGGACTGAGACACCAGTATTTCCCGTGCATCTTTGTCTAGAACCACCTCAGCCAACCCTCAGGAGAGTCTATACCGACTTCCTCTCCTGGATTATAGCAGTGACTTCATCTTAACTCTATAGCAGTGATTCTCAACCTCCCTGACGCTGTGACCGTTTCATACACTTCCTCATGTTGTGGTGACCCCCCAACCATAAATTATTTTTATTACTACTTCATAACTGTAATTTTGCTGTTACAAATCTTTTTGTTTTTGTTTTTGTTTTTTGTTTTTTTGAGACAAGGTTTCTCTGTATAGCCCAGGCTGTCCAGGAACTCACTCTGTAGACCAAGCTGGCCTCAAACTCAGAAATCCGCCTGCCTCTGCCTCCCAAGTACTGGGATTAAAGGCGTGGGCCACGACCGCCCAGCTACTGTTACAAATCTTAATATAAATACCTATGCATTATGATGGTATTAGGAGACCTCTATACGGGGTCATTTAACACCCCCAAAGGGGTCATGACCCACAGCTGAGAAAGCTGCTGTGTTGGTTCATCCAGAGTAGAACCTGTAGCCCCTGGGGCCTGGCCATCTACATTTTACAGCTCATTCATTACGTCTCTGCCCAGACCCTCAGCTCACAAGCACTTTCTGTGGCACTTCTCATCCCTACTCACAAGTTTTGTGCTTCAACAAACCTTGACATTCCTTGTAGATCCGCCCCCTCCAGTGTAATCAAATCATTAACGAAATAATCTTTAGCCTTTTTTTCTAAAGCTCATCTAGAAGTGCACCATCTGAGCCAATCCTTTTTTCCTGGATCGAGGCTCTCTTTATTCTTTCTGTAACATTCCTTGAGGTTATTATCTGATACAAAGTCGTTCTGCAAATGTTGCATACGTATCAGCTTACTCTTTCATGGATGTGTACGTGCTAACACATGCCAGAAATCCACTATGGATGTCATTCCTTAGACAAGGTCCACTTGAACCACTGTCTC